GGCTCTTTCATCGGGGTTTTGTTTATGTCCCCAATTCCCTAATCGCTTAATTATTTAACTACTTCTTAAGTAGAAATAAGTCGAAACCGGTTACTTTGTACTCGAATATTTGTAGTCTCGGGAAAAAAGTGGAAAGACAAATTTTTATGACAAACGGATATATAAATGGTAAATGTAAGGAAAATAAATTCTAGAACCTTTTCTGTACCTGGTGCATTTCTCTCATTCATGAAATTTAGTTGTAAATGAAGCTGTCGAAGTAACGGTTAATTTTTTAACATTATACAAGAATTGTACACGTTTTTTTTCTACATCCCCTTAAAGATGGATGTACGAAATCGTAATATCACTGGTTTAACATTCAAATCTGTGAGTAATATAAAATGGGAGAGCGGAATAAATATATCAAATATTTTAATGGATTTTTTAAACTCCTGTCAACTATACAGAACTATCGTAAAAACATACCAGTAAATTCTTATCGGTTGAGTTAAGTTATAAATCTACTCGTTATTCACGTAATCGAAATATCTAGTGGGCAGGCGGCTAACAGCCCAGAACCGATCCCGGATAGAATTGGAAGCGTTATATGTGTAAGCATCGACCCAAGGTCGTAGCCTTCCACCGGCTAAACCGGGTGAGGTTGGTGCTCTGTAAAGCGCATGCGCAAATCTGGCTTTTTGGAATCTGACAATACAGAGATTCCACTCTGCCACTAATATTTGAATATACAATAGCAATATTATTTTTTTTTTTTTTTTCACGTGTAGTATAGAAATTTGTAATAAGATACATAATGCAATTATAATAAAATATTGTGCGATTATTTTTATATAATTAAAATTAATATGTATTTACTTTTTATAAAATACAGTACAAGGGAAGCGGCGCTTCCACCGGTTCTAATGACGGCACGCCACTGTGTTTACACAGTGGCATGCCGTCACGTGCTGTGAGTTTGCTTCTCGTTATTTCTATGACTGTTTGACTGAACGACTCTAACTTCTATTTGCTGCTGTGAAGTACAGTATAATACAACAGTAAAAAGTTGGCTTCAGAATGTAAGCACTATATACATACCCTGTTAATCCAAACTTCTCATTAATCCGTCAAACTACCACTGGCCTCAATTAGTTCGGATTAGCGTGGCCGTACCATAGTTAAAAATAACAATCTCTTCCCAAATGAAACGGAACACAAAATTAAAGTTGTGTTCCGTTTCATTAAAGTTATTGAGGCACCATTTTGTTTAAAAAATAAATTTATTATTATTAATTATTATAAAATGGCAAAAACCGTAATGTTGAGGGTAGGGATACGTTTTATTTTGTTTAAAATGAAAACTCTATGCAATTTTTCGGGTTTTCTGCACATTTGTAACATTTAAATGGGGTCAGTTTCCTATAGAAGCTTTTCCTGGAAACCATCGCCCACGCGTCGCATCGCCATAACAAAATAAAGATAAGAAATTACATTATTTTCGTTGTCGAAAATAATGTAATTTTTTCACACATTGCAATTTATATAAATTTTGTTATACGAGTTTTACGGATGACGTATCACATTATTATTTTCGGTTTAGCCCATCCCGGACACAAGATATCCACTACATCCGTAACGAATGGTTTTCTCACGAATGGTGTCTTGCTCACAGCGCACAAGAAGCAATCGTTATGCCAATTTCAGCTTTCGATAGATGTATAGGGGCAACAGCGCCCACCTACTTTAAAAATGGAGAGCACAAGCTATGAAAAAAGGGCATCGTACATTATGCAAACAGCTTGAAACTTTACGATGGTGCGAATCGCCGTCCCTCCAAACACACCAGATGCGTGCTGCAACAGAAACACTATGTCAGAGTTCGTCGCCATAAATAACACCGTCGATGGTAACAATTTGTGGAAGGTGAATCAAATTTTTGTGTTGGTAATAGGTGTCGCAATGTATGTCGTTACCTATTTGAACGAAGCCTTTATTGCCTACTAGGTTAGCGCAGGGAGCGTAGAGAATGCAATCTTTGTGCCATTGCTTGTCTCGGTACGTTAACATTTTTGTACCTAAAAGTTAAATTTTAAGTATATTTTTACGTCGGTTTTAAATTGAGAATATCCAAATGTTCCTTTACCGGCTCGAATTATTTGGCTACATCTGTGGCATCTAGAAGTAAAAGCTGCATCGTAACACGCTTCGCAAGTAGATTTGGATATTTTTCCAGGCGTAAGGTCTTTCTATCAACAGCATTTATTGCATACAAAGCATTCTTCGTGCCAATATTTATCTTTGTGAGATAGATTCTGACAATAATTTTTTTTTAATTTCATAGGCATTTGAATTTCTATTTGTTAATATTTTACGTTGGAATGTATTTCTTCCATATTGGTAACAAATATTTAAATACGTTTCTTCACCCGCTGTTACAAAGAAGCGCAATACACGAGTCTGACAGAAACATTTCATTTCAGGTAAGAAAAAAATCAGATTACTAGTCGCTTAGCAGATGAAGAATTAGAAATTTATTTTTAATCAATTGTCATTCCAATCTAATTTACATAATAAGTTTCTTTACCCCAAAGAAAAACCTTCCTAAATTTAACGTGTCATCACCAGACTGGATGCCAACATTATACATGGGGTATGAGAGTGGCCACAACCCATCTGAATATCGGGAGCGTTATGAAAGAGCACGTAATCAGGAGAAATCTAGCCACTTGTAAGATCGTTATGACCCTGTAATTATTTATAAGCTTTCATTTGTGAAGCTTACAAAGTAAATTAAGTGTAGTTATTTGTTGTCAAATCCAAATACTTTATGGTGTTATTAAATTTTTCTTTAGGCCACAACTCTTGATCTACAACGAAAATACTGACTTCGTATGGATCGACACCTTGACACAATGAAACAGCATATTTATATAAAACAGCATCTTGACCTGTCGGACTGAGAGAATAGCCCACCAGAAAAGCACCTTTTTTAACTTTGCCCATGATATAATAATACTGCAGTTTAAATATGTTTAAATAGAAAAAAAGCGCTTCCAACCGGTCAAATAGAAACCACCTGCAAGCTAAGCAAGCGGAAGCTAGACCACAAACATGGCGAAGGAGCGGAGCAAACGTGCGTTTTATCACTTGACATGCGACCTTGAATCCTCTTTATATAATGCTGTTGATATTCCTTCTCTAAAAATTTACAGAATTTCTTAGAAAAGTCTTGTTCGGGAAGTTAGTTGGTTTTTTACCGGAGTTCTAGATTTACACACTTTTCTGAAAGGAATCTGTGCGAAGTACGATTGGATCTTATGATCTTAAAATACAAAAACCAATTAAGATGACAAATTTGTACCGTATATTCCGACGAATAAGACGACTTTTTACCCCAGGAAAATCTTCTCAAAAGCCGGGGGTCGTCTTATACTCCGGTCTTCTCAAAAGTCGGGGGTCGTCTTATAGGACGAGTATATCCCAAACTCTATATTTTAACTGTAAAAGTCGGGGGTCGTCTTATACGTCCAGTCGTCTTATACGCCGGAATATACAGTAATTTTTGCTGAATTGCCTCTGTATCGTAATTTCTTACTTTGGAACAAAGTTGGTGGTTTTCACGGATACCCTTCTTCTAGGTCAGTCCGTTTTTCTCGTGTTCCATTTTGTTCGAGTTGATCCTTCAGCGCGATTCTATCTCTGGCATAAATCGCCCCATTGAGTTGAATTCGTGGCATTCACGCACCAATTTACAATGATCGCGGACAACTCTAATAGGGAAACAAAGCTAATTATCGTGGCATATTTAATCGTTATTCTCTTATGTACTTCGAGTGTCTTCCTCCAAGCATGAGGTTTACAACCCGGGTATTGACTTTTGCACTTTAGACATAGTGGCCTTCGTCTATTTCTGCGGTTAGTAGGTTTGTTTTTAACGAAAAGATACGAGGAAAAAGTCTTAAAAACCCAGAAAATAATTTTCGAGCGTCAAAAAAAATGTTTTTTTTTTCTACTTGAATTTATGAATATGAATTTTTAAATAAAAAAAAAAGATTTATTAAGTAAAGTATTGTTAAAACAACAGTTTAAAATGAGTAGATCGTATTGGCTCTGTATCAGTAGCGCGTTATAGCTTCATGGAACCCAAGCAAATTAGAATTAGGGGACCCTTCAGACGTTTTTTTCCGGAAAAATATTTTGTTATAATAGATTGGTTTGGGGCCCTCTGCTGGTGGTGAGCCCTGGCAAATGTCTTTATTTCTTTCCCTGCTGTTACAGGGAAAGTATAGTAATCGGTCAAATTTTTTCTCACGGCTTTTTGCATTCCTCGTCTTTGGCACTCCAGGGACCCAATAATGCAAAACCCCTTACGAAATAGTGTGTATGTGCGTGTCGATGTCTATTTTGCGTTATATCTCGAGATTAGATGAACAAAACGTTTTGAAACCTGGCACGGCTATTACTATTTATGGGGCATTGATACTATTAATTAAATTTTGGTGGTTAAAGGTCAAGGAGGTGGGGTGATAGAGGGGAGTCGCATGTCATAAAATGGCCAGACTTACTGAAAATTTTAATCGTTATTGGAATTTACAATATTTTTAGAAATTGATTTCTACCCTTTGTCTTTTTAATTAATAATATAAAAGTTATTTTTTTAAAGTAAAATTCAATAACAGATGAGGCAACTGGCTGGACTTTTTTAATTTGTTTAGTAAATAACGTCCCGAAAAGGTCACTCTTCTTTCAGGTCACGACATCGTGCGTCACGGGTTACTCGCGATGGTCACAAGAGGATAAAACACGCCCAATGAACGACGAAAAATTTAAATGTGGTTCCTCTTTATCGTAGTGTTTGTTATACATACACAACCATACACAAGATAATAATCTAATTTTAATAAGAAATCTGGAGATTACGCGACATTTCCACATTTGTTTACAGTTTAGAAATTATTTTGAACATTTTACAAACTGTATCTGTATTTACTTTAATTTTAACTTTAAATTATCAGTGACGTTTCACACACGCAGTTCCACAGGGTGCTCTTATGCAACGTATGTTCGGTAGAATCACTACGCACCTCTCATCTGGACAACATTCTCTATCGTTCAGACATGATTTGCCCCTATAAAAAATTAACATGTATGAAGTTTGAAATACATATTTTATACAAAATAAAATTAGAGTTTACCTGTTATCGCAAGTGTGATGATCTCTCTTTACTGTAAAAGATTTTCGACTTTTATGTTAATATATGGAATAAAATGTTAACTTAATTGTGCAAATTTCTCACCTAAAGAAGAAGATGGACAAATTGCAACTGTAGCCATAAGCAGGATAATGAACAGAGGTGTCATACTTATCTGAAAAATGTATATCAAAAGTATCGTTTATCAACATTACACTAAGAGGACTAATCGTGTTTTCATAAATGGTCGTTTGCACAGGATTGTGCCAAAATGGTGCTCTCCTTCAGTGAAAGAAAAGTATTGTGCTGTTTATCTTTCATTAAAGAGGAGACCCTTCACACATTCCTATGTGAAAGATTACTTTTTATAGAAAAGGATCTTTCACAAAGGAACACGCGAAGGTGCTCTCCTTCAATGGAAGAAGAGTATTAAAAATGTACTGTATTGTTTATCCATCATTGAAGAGGAGGCCCTTCACATTTTCCTTTATGAAAGTCTACTCTTTATTGAAAAGGAACACGTGAAAATCTTTTATTTTAATGAAAGAAGAGTACCTGTGCGAGTTCCTTTTTAAACGGAACTCACATATAACAGTCCATAAATCAGATTATGGACTGTTTAATGTTTTTAGGAAGATACTTTATAAGTGTGATTTTAAATCAGAAATAAGCACTCGAATGTTATCCTCCCGCACGACGTGTCGCATTCCAATTTCACGCTTACGAAACAACGTAAAAGAATTTGAGTGGATGACGTACGAATTAATTAAAAATCGCACAAATCAAGGATATAATTTGGGTTAATTTAATTCAATAACATTTTTTTAAAAAAAATATTATTTCGAGTAAAAAAATCACAATTTTATTTTTAAGAAATCGCAAACGCAGCAATTAATATCACGCGCCAATATGCAAATTAGCCTTACGTTTGAGCGTTTGTGTCGGTGGGACAGTTTGTGCGTGTTTTGAATTGAGTGTTTGTGGGTTATTTTCTTTACGTGAAATGAATAAAATGAGACGTGCAAGATGGCATTTTGCTGAATTTCTATAGAGAAGACCATTTCGAATGGAAGAATTTCTTGAATTGGTAAAAGAAAAATGGCGGACGGACAACCTATTAAATCAGTACTTACAGCAGTAACGTGAGTTGAATTTATTATATTTTAATATCATACAATAATTAACAATTGCGAGAAGGGGTAAACTCGTGAAATATACAATTTATATATTTGGTTTGGGTTCCGTTTCGTGTGCAACGCGGCGCGATACACGAAGCGACGTGACAGGCGGTAGGAAAACACACAGGTACCAGAGATACAGGTAAATTAGCACTTACCTTTCAAAGAAGTGTACTATCAACGCTTTGCTTACGTTCAGAACCTGTATGTGTGATTTGATCTAGAATTTCGCAATGAAATTCAAAGAAACGTATCGATAGAAATTCCTAGAATTTCTAGAAAACGGATTTCTGTATAATTTATTTACGTTTTCTCATTTTTTAATCGTTAAAAACAACTTTAAAAATATTAAAAAATTATATAGGAAAACATGTGGAAATACAGCACATAGATAAATATTATTACAAATACTTTATTGTAATAAGAAAAATCTTGTTACAGGGGGTTAACATTAGAGAATTACAAAAATACAATTATTACTTATTGAAACATTTTTTTTAAATATCTTGTTACATAAAATTTGCTAAACATAACATATTAGTCATTCAATCTACATATCATATTTCAAATTCTTTAAAATATGAACAAAGAAAGCTATGAATATTATACATCTTATATAATAGAATTATTTCTAGATTGGTTCTGAAATATTCTTCTAATTCAAATCAAAAAACTCTTTTAATTTAAATTTACATTACGCTTCTTCAATCTTTAGACACTCAGTAAGAATATAATAAATGTTTTATAAAAATGGTTGTAAAGATCAAGTAGAACTTGCCTACCTGCTGGAAGAAGAAGTTTAATAAATTTAGTGGTAATTATATCCATTCCGGTAGCTGTTTTCGTTTTTAATTTACTAGTTGATATATCCAGTTATTCGGTAGATATTGAAATATCTAAACTTTCATTGAAAGAAATTTTTATATCGGCATAAGAAAGACTGTAATTTCTTTGTGTGTGAATTTGTCTCTTTAATCCGATTTTCAGTTCGGTAGACTATCATATACAGCATTCAGTTTATGAATTTCCTTTATTGCTTTGTTATATGCATTTCGGACTCAATTGTAATTTAAGTCCCTCTTCAGTACAAACTCAGATTCTGTTTGTAATTTAAGTCCCTCTTCAGTACAAACTCAGTACAACTCAGACAATTATACACCGAAGTTTTTAGAAAACAGAATCTGAGTTTGTACTGAAGAGGGACTTAAATTACAATTGAGTCCGAAATGCATATAACAAATCAATAAAGGAAATTCATAACCTGAATGCTGTATATGATAGTCTACCGAACTGAAAATCGGATTAAAGAGACAAATTCACAACGAAAATAGCAGCAGCCATAAGTGATTTACTGTAATTTCTGTTAATCTATTAAAAAAAAAAAAAACTAGCCATTTAGTAGAATCTATTTGCATTGATTGATCACAGTTGATACATCATAATTTCTTAATCGTAGACCTTAAAGGACCATTAGTTTTATTTTCTAAGATTTTTTGTTGAATTTTTTTTATGGTAATTTGATTTCTTAGTATTTAATAGATTGAAATACAAATTTTTGGCTTAACGATATTGATTGAATGCCGTTGATGTAGATAATTTTTTTTTTTTTTAAACTGGAGTAATGCTTTATTTTCATTCTTAAATTCATATATCCGGTATAAACTTTCATTATTATTATGTTCAGCAAGCAAGGGACTTAATAATTGAATCTCAACAAAACGTAAGTCTTGAATAGGAGTGTTTAGATTGATCATATGTCATTGCGAAGTATTCTCAGAAGTAAAATACGGGGTAAAAGAATCCAAGTATACCAACCCCTCCAACACATAGCTATACGTCAAAGAATAATTGCCCAACAGTATAGTATCACCTCGGAGTTTTGGATATTTACCTTTTTTCCTTAACTCGCTTAAAAAAGGAATTAATTGTTTACGTCTTAATCTAGATCTTTTTATAAGGTCCTGTGAAATTTGAGTTTCTTTCCATATGTTCGATAGGTTTTGCTGTTTCATTTTTATGAAACTCGAATAAATATAATCTCTTATTTGGGTATTTTTAATAATTAATTTAATTGTTGGATACTGTGATTTAGTTATTGGAATAATCGTTATTAAGTCATCCATTGTAAATTCATGTAATTCTAATGATTCATTAATAAGATTAAACACTTCTAACTTGGTAGGACTAGTTTTACTGGGATATCTATATAACATTATATTATTTCGATGTTGCACATTAACCATATTGTCCATTCGATATTGCATACTTTCATTTTCTATTTTCAAATTAGCAGTTTGTTGTTCAAGATTAATTATTTGGCTATTCATTTTTTGATTCTGGACTTCAGTTTCTTGGATACTATTATGAATCTGGTCCAAATCTTCTTTGATAATAGTCATTTGATTTAATATTCTCGTATTAGAAACATTAATTAATTCAGAAATTTTATTCCATAGTGTTATACTTGATATATCAGATGAATTTTTTCCTGGCGAAGAAGATAAAAAATCAAATGGCTCACCTGATAGTTGTGAACTTAGAAGTGTAGTTTCAGGGTTCAAACCTGTGTTTTCAGAGGATGGTTCAGGGGAAGTTCTTTCGACGTGTAAATTGTAGTCAGTAATTAACCTGGTATTAGTAGTCGAAGCAGATTCCTTTTTACTAGTTGATTTTGACTTTTGAAGTGGTGGTCTTCCTCTTTTAATTGGCGAGCGTTGCATATTAATTATGTTGATAGATTTTCCAACAATTATACATAGATAAATATTCTAATCCCTTCCATAGTAAAAGAAACACAGTAAAACCTGTCCAAAGCGGAACCTTAATAAAACGGAAACCTGCCAAACCGGAAAAATATTCGGCACCGTACGAGTCCGGTTTACACAGGTTTCACTGTAATACTAGTTAATCTAATCGTCTATTACACGTAAAGAGTATAAATCCGTATATATGATTAGGTAAATATCGTAACGTCCATTTAAATCAAGTACAGTGAAGTTTTAGCGTAACGCTATAAAGCACCGGATGGGGTTATATCGGGGTTGACCGCAGGTATCATATATTTATAGTCGAGATTATACAGGTTGTACGAATTTGTTTAGACATCCTCATATATGGAACACAAAATTTCAAGAATGACGTTAAATTGACGTAACAGTGTACACACCTTTCGGCCATTCTCTATTATCGGCTGTATAATCTGCAATTTTGCTTTTATTGTTAAATAACAACAATATTATGCGGGCTTTTTCAAGATGCCAGGAGCGAATCATTTACCAAAAGCGGACCTTCTAACTCCCTTCTAAATGCAGGGACTCTTGCTCACCCACGAAATCGGCTCTGAAGTATTTTTATAATTTACTAGCTTACCCGTCGCGCATTGCTGCGATCTCAGAAGAAAGGAAATTTAAGCAAACTCGTCATGACAAAATTTAATTTGCATTTTATAATTTTTATTAAAACTTATTATTATTACATTATTATTTCGAGTCGATATTAAAATTTGGAAAAGGGGGGATACCTAGATCGGTAAAATACGCGAATTTCCTCCTACAACTTCGGTTGTTGTTCGGGGTACAGTTGAGGTTTTAACGAAGTTCGAGCGAATACATAATTAGCAAAAAAGAAAGTTGAAATAAAGTGATTAAACAAAAATTATTACAAATATCGTAAATAACAGTTCACAAATGCATATATAGAGATATTTTTTGAAGGGGGGAAATGGTCTTCACAATTTGAAATCGATCGAACACACTGTGCTCGAATGCTCGTGTAAACGCGCGCCATCTATCGTAGGATAAATGTACTATGCCAAAAACCTTCGCGGGAGTGTATTAAAAAACTTTCCGAAGTTTTATGGCAATTGTACTTTGCCACAAACCTGCGCCGGAGTATATTAAATAACTTCCCAAAGTTTCACGGCAATCGGATAAACGGTGTGGTAATGCATGAAGGACACACACACACACACACACACACACACACACACAGACACACATACATTCATTTTTATATATATAGATAAATACAGGTAAGTGATAATGGATGATTGGTTTGATGGGATGCAGGAATGCAACGCACGGGCGATCAGCCAAGGAGGAGTGCCTCCCTGGAGGACTTTCAACGGAAAAATGGTCTTATTTAGGTTTAGACACTTGGGGAAAACAGAAACGTTGGTGGGGTACGTACTCGCGACTAACTTACTGGTGTTCAATGGTGGGCATTTATAAGAAAAAATCCATCAACGTGCTTTGTTGTTCGACTACATTCGCCGATAGTTATTCGCTCCATGCTTCGCCCACCACCTATTTAGAAAAATTTCCTGTTATAACAGCCAGGAAAGTAAGAGGAACTGTTCCATGAATTAATTACACAACTAGTTTGCCTCTAGGCTATGTTATCCTCAATTACAGGAAATCAGATTTCTATGAACAGTTACTTTTTATATTTCTTGATAAAATAATACAGCAGATCTTGGCTTTTAACCTATCTGCTCTGTTTCTGGAAAACCGTCGTTAACCGATCCCTCGATTTCCCTTTAGTTCATTGTCGTAAATTAAGGTTAAGTTCCTGGAAAGTAAAGTTTTGGCTTTATAATATCACACAGGAAATGAATATCATACGAGATTAATTAATATAATTACTGATGTAATGGTATAATCAAATTAGAATTATTTTATACCAATTGTAAAGCGGGAATCTTACAATCTTACTGTTACTCACATGTTTTGTATTGTTGCTTACAGAATACTAGTAGCCAGGGACGCCCCCTAGTGGGCGTTCTTTACAAATTTCCATGAGGCACGGTTCCTTTGACTTTTTTGTTCCTATCAATATGCCCTACAGCTCTGTAAAAGTCTGAATGGTAAGATTTACCCTCCGAATGAAGAGGTGGCGATCCCCCCAAACTGTAGCCCCCTGTGCGAACAATAAAGTCAAAGGAACCATACCCCTACTCGCGACCCTTCGCGAGATATAAGCCCCTGAAATAATAAATTCCTATTACAAATATACTGAATTATTTATATTGTTATATTGACCAAATAATAATTTATTGGCCAAATGAATAATAATAATTTATATTGTTAATTTAAATAATAATTAAAATTGTTAATTTGAATGTTTGAAATATGACACACGATAGGGGCGCCTCTAGTGTCCGTTATGAAACGGTTACGGGA